CATTTGATGCAGATTTTCCTTCCCTTTCTTATGGATACATTTTCCAACCATAATCTTGAATGCTTTTTCGATAATTGCCAAAATTCTCCATCTGTCAATTTTATCTGCTCAAAGTTAGCCTAGTTTTTGGAAATTTCATTCCAAATTTTCGGAAAGGGTTAAGTATGGATCAAATAGAGTAAGTCTCGATTTACAAGTATTATTTTCAAATGCTCTCAGTGTGCTTCCTTTTTTGCTTTTTTCTTCGAAGGTCTTGATTTTCGGCAAAGTCATGAAAACATGCAACTGCGGCAAATATTAGGTTGTCCCGAAAGTTTTGTCCGTTTTTTCAACCTATCATAAAAACGCGGAATGAAGATAGGAAAACGCTCTAAGCACTATCCGACGCATCTTTTCCTTCTCTTTCTAACTGTCATAACTCCATGCCGATTAATCTTTTGTTCAGTGAGATAAACGCCGAAATTTCGAACCCATGGTTTTTACTATGTCCAAGTTTGGCAATTTTTCACAATCTTTATTTTTGATTTCGGAAAAGCTTTGGCAACAGTTAGATAGAGCAAACAAAGGGCAATATAATGCAATTTTGCGGCTTCTATAGCCAGCCTTGAAAATTTTTTAGAATTATTTTTCTGATGCTATCAAATTCCACTTTTGGTGATGTCAAAAGCCAGATATCATGAAACGACGCACAGCTAAGGTGTTATTCGATGCAGCTTTTCCTCCTCTTTCCAGTGAGTGAATTTTCTCTCCAATTTGCGGGGTCTTTGGCGATAAAATTTTCATAATTCTTGAATTTGACCCCACCCCAGCGTGTACACGTAAAATGCAAAATCTTAAATTTCGAAGCGGTAAACGCTCATTTGCTTCGTAAAAATAGTGAATAATCGTAATCGATTCTTGAAAGCCTCAAAATTCGATGATTTGTTAGTGTTCAAGGCGTTTCTGCATTTTAGAACTTCGCAAAAGTGAAGACTTTTGAAAAAATTATCTTTAAAAATATTGAAAAGCTAGCTAGATATGCCAAATAATTGCATTGCATTGCCTTTGCTTACTCTATCTAAGAGCTATCAAAGGTCTTCCAAAAGTTGAAAATGAAAATTGTGAAAAATTGTCAAACTTGGACATAGTAAAAACCATGGGTTCGAAATTTCGGCGTTTATCTCAGTGAACAAAAGACTAAACGGCATGGAATCATGACAGTTAGAAAGAGAAGTAAAAGATGCGTCGAATAGTGCTTAGAGCGTTCCCCTATCTTTGTTCCACGTATTTTTATGATGGGTTGAAAAAACGGACAAAACTTTCGGGACAACCTAATACATAAACGCTTTCGAAGTTTCTACGAATTGAAGCATGATTCTTATTAAACATTATTTATGTAACATAACCAAGTTTGATTTGTTTGAAAAAGCAGCTTTTTGGCATTTTCGGTACTTTTATGTGGTAACCGTAATGAAAAAGCCGCGGGTTTTTATTAAACAAATGATTGTAAAAGACTTAGTAAACGTGGCCCATGTAATCTAAAATGGGTGCAGTGTACCATATGTTCGCTCTACTTGACAGTTACCAGCGCTTTTTAAGAACATCAGGATAAATATTTTTTGAAAATCAGGAAAGATATGACGTTACTGCTGAGGTGCTCAAAACTCCGTGGCGATAACATTGCAAAGACAGGGTAGATCAGAGAGCAAATATAACTATAAGAAAAAGGATAAAAATCTGAATCAAATATTACCCAAGGCGTCCATGGATTGGTGTTCTGTGTTTAGTGAGCGATGAAAAAAGGACAGAACTTTCGGGACAACCTAATATCATTTTTAAGCAATAAAAAATATGAAAGTAAATCAGATTTTTTGTACGCTTCATCGGCTGTAGTAATATGGCGGCACTATATTTTTTTCAGCATTATGATGAGGTTGTTCTCTCCTATTTGCATCCAATAAATCACATTAATCTTTTGAAACGATGAAGTCAGTAATCAAAACTTTGGAACAACCTGATAAGATTAATCATTAACATGAAATTATATTGTCATCTTTTGGCAGTGGACCAAGTTAGACCAAAATGCGACAAAATAATTCTAGCTAGTTAACGGCTCAACAATTTTTTGAATTTTCACGAAATGCGTTTTTCTAACAGCTATAGGGCAACTCTCGGCTTACACGCATGAGGTTTTGATGGTAAAAGGGTTCTAAAAGCTATGCTTAGAAATTGAACTTTGTTTTCCTACGTTATCGAATATTTTCTTTATTCCACTAGGTTACAGATCAATATGTAGCTGTGAGATTATATGACTGTACTCTACATTCGAAAAATGTTTTCGTTCCAAAACCAAGTGTGGCCGACCAATGTGTAATGCATCTGAACCCGGAAGGTTCCATTGCAAACAACCTTGCATTTAGAATTCTTTCAGACGTTAAGTTGAGGGCAGTAAATCTAGCGAATAACAGCGTACATGACATGACATACAGCATCAATCATACATCAGTGATTACAAAAATAATTTGCAGTATATATGACTTGGGTTTTCTGTAACGTTTTTCTTGCAAGATTTGTATTGTGTCCATTCATCATAATGCGCTTCGATTACTGCAGTACTATAATGGCTCTTGTATCTCCTTTCATGTGCACTTGATTATAAAAGGTTTTATTAAAGTGCCTTTTTGGCGAAACAAGGCAAATGCTCGGTTAGATTGATAATTAGTAATGTCTCGTTTCTGTAAAAACTAATTGTAAGGAGATTCTAAATGGTGGTTGTCGTATGAAGCATAGTAATCATCGAAAATTTTTGGGTGTCGTTCACTAAATAGTGCTTTTCTCGCATGAGCACGTCAAGATAAAGCGAGAACATCACCTAGTAGATAATGATGGGCTAGAAGAGATTCGCGCGTAAAATCACCATGAAAGATGTGGTTAGAATAGGCACAGCGGAGGACTAATGGGAGTCTGAGAAGGCGGGCGCAATGCGTTTCTGGTAATCTACTGGAGAGCAGCAGAAAGCGTGCACATAACAGCCAAGCAGATGTGATCAACTTGTTATGTTAAATGATAGACTCCTGATACAAATGCAGAAATAAGCGTAGGCGATGCATTGCAACTCATAGATTATATGAACCTTTGTTTGGAACCAGCGTGTTTTGAACTACCTTGATGCAAAGAATTACTCCCGTGTTTAAGGCGATGCATCCGCTTGTCTGATTTGTGAGATGACCGTATCGTTCTCGCATTCGGACGGATTTATCAAATTGCTCTGAGTGGACGTATCAGCTAGCTTATACACGGTCTCGAATACGAGGGAATCCAAAAGTGATGCTTTGAGCAGCTTTCGCGGTTTATAAAATTTATCAGATTAGTAAGTCTGCGGTGACTGCCTACTCTATATTTTGCAGATTATATAATATAATGGAGCATCTTCAACAAGGGAATGATCTGAAGTTGAAGTGGCCGATTCAAACAAGCTGCACACCATTCGGTGCAGATTAGAACGCTGGTTTTTCAAATCTGTCCCCATGTCTGTCGAACGCCCTAGCAGGCGAAGTTATGAGCAACTTTACTGCGAAAACATCGTCGGACGCAAAAAATGCGAGATTGGGCACACTATTTCTCTTTTTGCTCACCTTTAGTACTGACCATATGAAGAGGCCTAGTTGCATGTTTTGTCCAACACTGAGCCGAGAATGGCTCTGAACGGCCAAGTTTACCCTTTACACACACGATTTCTTAGTAAAATAATGACCTTCGACTTATTTCAATCACAAAAGTGTTTAGCAGATAGGGAAGACAGATTTAGAGTCAGCGGTTTATCTGCATTAATGCTACAGCTTGCTTGAAGTGGCCACCGATTTCTTACCATTCCCTAATAAGTTATAAGCAATTCTGTATATTGCTTCCGTACAGCTTACAGAAAAGGGCCCATTAGCTTGAAAGAATTAATTTGCAGCGTAGGTGCGATTTTCTCTGTTCCGGAGTAAGCTATTTAATGGAGTAATTATGGCGTTGATTATGGCGTGCACTTGATGACAGTACTGTCCCGACAAATATAGCAATTCGGAATATGATTGATGTGGATACTTAAAAGTATTATAATAAGGTGGCTACGTAAAACATCAAAATTTGTCGTATTTGTGATTAGGAATGGCAAACATTTAGACAGTCATTTAGAGTCGAAAATTTGTTCATGAAAACTACTTCCCCAGCTTCCCTGTAATGCGTAAGCTCCATTTTTTGCTGTTACTTGCACATAGAGAGGTCTTTCCATGCAGGGAGCGTCATCTGCAACATTATTTAGCAGAGCGCTGCAGCGGAACTTAGAATGAGCGAAATCGTCGAAGTGACATCCAAACAATTTAGTTATCTTTTTGATAGAAGTTCAGATGTTGTTCCGTTCCCGGCTGCTGGTTACGAAGGTGTTGAGTAAGGCATATCGTGGGAATGACTGGGTCTTGTGAAGAAGTTCTTAGAAGGTTATGAAATGTAGGCAGATTGAACAACAGAGAGTGAATCTGCCTTCGCTATATTATGAGCTACGGAGAACGATCGCCTCTAGGAAGTCTTGGATGGAAAAATACGCACACATGGCATTATTTTCATCGCAGTCTATGAGAGTTTGGATGCTGTAAACAACATCAAGTGATGTGGAAAATCTAGCACAGTTCAGTTAACGTAACGAAAATCAAGAATTTTCTCTTCGAATCGACTTGTGTTGGTGTGTTTAGGATTGTGAGAATTGCTTATCCACCGCGTTTGGACTATTTCACTAGCTCTTTACCCAAGTCCTTTGATCCTTTACTTCTTCAATCATCCGAAATATATTACTGCCTCGCATCTATAGGGTTGTTTTGGTATGCGTAACATCTCTCTAGCCATGACATTCACAGTAAATACTCACATTATATATGAACTAGCGTGCTATAAGCTATCCTGGAAAATATAGTATTCTACCATCAGGCTATCAAACACTCCATCATACGAATTATGATTTCATGAAAAACGAATCATTTCAGAAGAATTACGATGTTGATATCGAGTTGAATGAGTTAGATATGGGAATGAACAGAAGGACATGGACAGGACTGTTAGACTTGGCTGGTTTACTGGGAGTTGAAGAAGTGGATGAAGTGACGGAGCCAGAAGCTGAACAAAGTGAGTTTTAGAGATTACTCATCTTTGCAGCATGTCAAATTTCTGCTTGATTTGGGGGAAAAAAGAAGGTTTTTAACAATGTGTGGCCAAAAATTGTTCAAAAATGTTACAAGTGAGTTTTCGATAGACCAAAAACGCGCGAGTTCTGTAGCCTTAAAATCTAGCGTTTTGCCAATGCCATAAATCTCTAGCAGTCAGGGGCATATTATATGTATCTACAAGTTTTGCAAGTTGGCGAATGGCTTCATATGCTGTGTTATTTAATTTGGAGTAGGCCAAATTGCATGGCATGAAATCGCGCGAGACATGCCCGTCTGTTTAGAGGTACCATCGGATCCACTTGTGCAGAGGCGGAGAAGTGGTAGTTCAAAGTTTGGCGGTTTTTGGCAGCGAGAGAGTACGAAAAACAGGGGCAGCTGTCTGGTAATTTCTATAAGGTGGAGGTCTAACAAATTTAATTTTGTAATCAAGGAAAGTCCGCAACCCACCTCCGTACGAATTTTGGAGCCAATGATATATACCCCTCCAACGAAGATATCCTTGATTTCTAACAGAAGAATTGCACACTTTCAACGGAAGGTTTCGTAGTTGCGAAGCGCTCGCGGAGGAAAGAGGGTGATAGAACATTTGAAAATTAGCTAAATGCTGAAAAAGCCGTCATATACGCCCAACCGGGAACAATAACATCATGAGTAATCATAATGTCCAACATGGAATGGACGAATGCTTATTTGCTCTACTGTTTCGTGCGATCTAAACCAAACAGCACCTGAAAATTTGAATTTCGTTTACGTCTGCTGTTCAAAGGCAGCTGATATTGCTAGAAGGAAGTGTGTATTTGACAGGTAGTATGAGTCAAAATAAACACCTGGTTTCCAAACCTTATGATCTTAGGTGTAGCCCGTCAAGAATGCCATGGATGGATATATGGGAAGGGGCAGCTGTCTGGTATATTGTAAAGTCGATATCGTTTTTGAATAAGTTGTGAGTGGTATGAAGTCTAGGGGAGGAGTGGAAGGGCAGGGGAGTTTAGGGAGGAGCTAGTGTTGTTTGGTGCCCTATCCCTGCTCGCAAATTGAAAAATACTTGAGACTAAACTGGATACTTAGGATGCAAATTCGCGAATACTTGGGGAGAGTGGTGTTCTGAATCTCCCAATCTATTATCGGGCGCTATCTCACCGATAACCAGCGCCCGATAGGGCGATGGGCGGTCTTCATAAGGGCAAAACAGAGCTTGATAAAGATTGAGATTGTTGAATAAACCTAATGGATGAAAGAACTGCTGCAGGAGACGAACATGATTATATGGATACGTCTTATTTAGTGTTGTAAGAATTTCTTTTTGCTTGCAAAGAACCTTGCTGCTGTAAGCCAAATAAAAAAGTAGGGGCCAAGTGGCAGTGAACGATCAAATGTTATTCAATTGAGGATGAAAAAGAATGCTAATTGAAGCTCGAGCTAATTGAGGATTGAAATGTAGCGCACCTCGCAATTCTTATTCTGCAGCCTTCTGAATTATGGCTGCGAATCGTCAAGCAGAAAATTTTTGACGTAATTTCAGGATATAATGATTTTTTCCAACGGTGTAGAGTTGAAGCAGACAATAAGTTATTGGTGAAACTTGGTTATGGTATCGCTTAAAAGAGATGATGGATGTTGATTTTCATGAAAGAAGTAATAACATTATTTGGCATGACCTACAATTTTGTGACTAAGGGTACTGGTACTTTGGACGTGAATTCCATATTTGGATGCCGCGTAAGAAATGCTCCCTATTTCTTGGAACTGCTGAAATGTTTCTTTTGTTCGGATATCACCACTGTCTCAGCATAGTTCAAGGTATGGGTCGTAATACAATCTAAAATTATCTACTTGAATAACTTCCCAAATGGTTTTCTCTGAGTCATATCGAAAATCATTTGGGCAGTTATTCAAGTAAATAATATCTGGCAAAAAAGTTGTGAATGTGGAACGATGCGAACATTTTCAGATGTCCAGGTTCTCACATTTTTTATCCAAAACAAATTGTTTGTTTTGAAGCTGTACAGTATCTGAACTTGAAAGATGTTTGATGTTGGATATAAGATGGTTGTTAATAATAACACAGGCATACTTTGAATTACAAATGCATGAACTGGCGTCATTGTGAGCAAGACAAAGCAACGAAAGTCATAGTACTCGAGTGCGCACGTGCATCTTTTGAATATTCTGTCTATTTTCTTAATGAGATAGAGACATGATTACTTGGATTTGTTTGTCTGTGTGGATTGTAATAAGCGAAGTATCCGCCGATTTAGGGATATGTGGAAAGATCAAGGAACTGAATTAACAAGGAAAGGAAGGTTGGTCGAAGTGCCCTTTTGAAATGGGATGTATACTGCTTTGTAGAGCTTAGAACACTGATTCCAAATCTACCTTTGCTATCTGCTGCGGGCTTCTGGGCGACGAGTTATGAAGGTTTCTGCGAGTAAAAATCTGAATGCAAGAGTAGGCTAATCAGTCGTAACATTTTTATAGGGCTTAATTGGTAGTCGGGTCACTCGGTGCAACAAATGTTCTTGATTCAAGTATGCCAATTCGCTGCTGCCTCATTTAAACATTGGGAAAGGGTTACGATTGATTTTACCCTAATTTTGCATTCAGATTCTTACTCACAAAAACCTTCATAACTCGTCGCCCAGAAGCCCGCAGCAGATTGCAAAGGTAGACTTGGAATCAGCGTTCAAAGCTCTACAAGGCAGTATACACCTCATTTCAAAAGGCCACTTCGAGTAACCTTCCTTCCCTTGTAAATGAATTTCCACACCACTTAAATACCAGGCCGAAAAGGGACGAACAAAAATGAGATTCCAAGCTTTGCGGTTTCAAGTTGAGTGCCAAAAATTGCGGAGGAGACAAATAGCTAGCCCCAGACCTGTAAAAATTTCTTGCAAAACGGTAGTCCATACAACAATGTGATAGACTTCAATCTTGCATGAGAATGCTTGTCATAGAAGCACGAATCGGAAGCAACAATGTGATCTAGTACAAATTCAAAACACTGTGATGTTTTGTTCGTAGTGAGGTAATGTATTGCTGTAAGCAGTGTAATGAGGGGATTTTCATCTAGATGACATTTTTCACAAGTTCATTGAAATCGCAGGCTAAAGCTAGTTACAATGATTACTGCTACATAAGAAACTAGCTGGCTTACCCGGCTCCGCCCGGCCCTGTCAATGCTATGATTAAGGTCTTATCCCTATCCCTGTAGAATCCATTGTGCCCACTTCTACATGCAATTCCCTATTACCGCTGTGTTAGTAATTAGCATGCCCACCTACCTCCCTCAACAACCCCCAGCCCCGTAGCTCAAACTTTGCAAAAAAAGCAATAAAATCGGTAACAGTAAGGATAATTCTGAAAACTGATAGCGCTATTCGGCTATCCGGCCCCAAAATGTTTTTGTGTTGGATCTTGCTCAAAGTCGATACATGGGGATTATTATAGCCGCTGATGACGAATATCGTAGTCATTTCGCGCGAAAGCGCCATTTTATGGGTTTACGTTAGGTACACATAAAAAGCTAAAATCATGGATTTCGCTAAAACTTTGAGGGGGGCTAATTGACATGCTGATTACGAATATCATACTCCTTCGGCATTTTGGATGCGGTGCAGGAGGAACCAAAGACCTGCCGCCTGTAGCCGTAGGAGATAATTAGGAGGGCGAGCGCTGTGGAGAAGATTTTGGCAAGGATCCAGGAAAACTTGGCCAGGACATCCATTAGAAACAAACCCTTGTAACTTTCCTTGGAATCATGTTTCAAGGATACGAAGGACAGATTTGGAATCAGTAATGAAGTGCGCATTTTTCAATAATACGCTTACCGGATAATTGAACAACGCAACTATTTTTAACAAAAACTGTGCCTTCAAAATTCACCATTCTAAACCGAAATTACAAGCTAAATGTTGGGTGAAAATTCTAACTGAATTATAGTGAAATTGTTGGATACAAGGTTGAAAGCATGAAATGGTAACAAGGAAATAATGTTAACTAAGTTGCATGTGATGAACTTTTGCTACTGTGTACGAGCTAAAGGATTACCGACATAGTTTCAATGGCAAATCTTATGAAGTCTCTAATGTCAAAATTTAAAGTTAGAATGGGTTTGAAGCTATGAGACAAACTGCATATTGCATTTTGACACAAACCTCCAGATGTGTTCTTATGACATTTTGATTGCTTTTCATTGAATCAAAAGGTAAAATAATTCTTTATCTCGAAGAAGAATTTTGAATGAAAACCGCGGACTTCAACAACTTGAAACTTCGAAACTCAAAACAAAAAGTTTCTGTAAGGTAGTTGACTTTTATTACCACTACAATTCCAAATTTTCATTTACTTTTAGGCCCAGTGAATGCGCCTTCCAATTTGCATTACAAATATGTTTTTTAAAATTTTCAAAGTCATCTCCAGGCGAAGTTATAGGGGTTTGTTTCTAATGGATGTCCTGGCCAAGTTTTCTTGGACCCCTGCCAAAATCTTCTCCACAGCGTTCGCCCTCCTAATTATCTCCTACGGCTACAGGCGGCAGGCCTTTGGTTCCTCCTGCACCACCCCCGGCATTTTGAGGCGATTTCACTGAATTATGGTAGTTATACTGCAGAGGGGCAAAATCTCAGTTTGGCTGAAACTCGGTCTAGAGAGATTCGACCTTCTGATCATATGCAAAACACTCTCGTTGCGTTTTGAGACCTTTTCGCAGAGTTACGGTAGGTACATGGCAGCGGGTAAAAATCATGGGCCTGCCTGAAACCTTGGCAGAAAATTACCTAAAGTGCTGTTTCAATATCGTGCTCAATCCCCACGATAAAGATAATTCGTGTGGTATGGAAGTTTCCCGAGACCGTAGTGCTTTCCCTTATAGGACCACTGCTGCGCGCGATACACCCTTCGGCGGCTTTTGCTTTAAACTTCGTCTAGGGTGGTCATTTAGCTCGCTGAACATGAATATCATGCTGATTTCGCAGGATAGTGCATTTTCTTGGGTTAAGGTGGGTGTAGATGGGTCGAATTTCCAGATTTGCTCAAAACTTTACCTGCAACGGTTCACAAGTATATCGCTTATGAATATGATGCTTGATCGCTGTCACAACGCATTATTGTGAAGTGGTGAGTTGCAGGGTTTGATTGGACATTTTTTCGATTTCGGGCCAATTTAGATCCCAGATATTCACGAAATGGGGAAACGATCGTTTTGCCATTTCGTGAATATCTGGGATCTAAATTGGCCCGAAATCGAAAAAATGTCCAATCAAACCCTGCAACTCACCGCTTCACAATAATGCGTTGTGACAGCGATCAAGCATCATATTCATAAGCGATATACTTGTGAACCGTTGCAGGTAAAGTTTTGAGCAAATCTGGAAATTCGACCCATCTACACCCACCTTAACCCAAGAAAATGCACTATCCTGCGAAATCAGCATGATATTCATGTTCAGCGCGCTAAATGACCACCCTAGACGAAGTTTAAAGCAAATCTATGTTTTCGACCCCATGCCATATAACCACACAACTCTATGAAAAGGTTCCAATATGCAGAGAGAGAGAGATGATATTCGTAATCAGCATGTCGAATAAGCCATATTGACCGAACTCCAGCCGAATTCATGATTTTGACTTCCTACCGTACACCTATCGTAACCACACGGGAAGACGTTCTGCGAAGAAAGTGTGATATCTGTAATCGGCATGTAAGATAACCCTTACACACGAAGTTTGAGCAAGCTCTACGACAAAAAATTTTGGGGCCCGGATAGCCGAATAGCGCCAATCTAATATCGAGCTCGTAATCAGCATCGATTACCCCCTTGTGCCAACTCCCAGTCCCGCAGAACAAATTTCGCAAAAAAATCGATTAAATCGATAAATGCAGTGGACGATTTCAAAACTAATACTGCAATCGTAATCAGCATGCTCGATTACCCTCCTGTGCCACTCCCAGCCCCGTAGCTCAAACTTTGCAAAAAATCGATAAAATCGATAGAAGTAATCGATAATCCTGAAAACGAATATTGTATTCGGAATCCTCATGCTCGATCACCCCCCTGTGCCAACTCCCAGCCCCGTAGGTGAACTCAGCAAAAAAATCGATAAAAATCGATAAATCGATGACGAAAAGTACCCTGTGACACCCGCCGGGGCCCGAAGTGTATGTGTGCCAAGTTTGGTCCGGATCGGTTCAGAAATGGAATTTTCTATTCGGAACATACGTACACACAGACATACATACATACATACATACAGACAGACAGACAGACAGACAGACAGACAGACAGACAAACAGACATTCAGCTTTATATATAAGATACAGATGTTTTAAGGCCAACTAGCTTCCCTTCGCCGTTTTTCGGTGTCAAGCTCGAAACCGCAAACTTCGAAATATCATTGAAAGCTGCAAAGCTGAAAAACTTCTTATCAGTGAAAGGTGCATTTGCGCTGGATAGCTCATAGAAAGTCACGCTTGAGCATCTGTCATGGACCGCAAATGTTCACCTGATGCGAAAGAATAAGTCTGCTATGAAATCAGTGCATACTACCACATTCCTTCAATATCTCGATCACCTTGGTTGCCAGCCTAAAGTCCTTACTGGCTTAGATACCGAAAGAAGTTATGTTTATTTACTTCATACCTGTATCGAGAACAATACTTTAGTCCTTCAACAAATTCAAGATCTCACGATCAAACCCAAACTCAACCCACTACGTGTCGGTTTTGCCGTACGAGTCGGATCGTGGCGCATCGACATGAACTATCCTGCTAATTCGACAAGGTTGGGAGCAGTTCGACTGGAAAACGCAATGATGAGCGCTATGGTAACTCAGAAATTCTTTTAGTTACGAACAATCCTCTACATCTGTGTTATTGTAGCTAAAATTATACGAGGACGTGGAAACGGTGTCAGTGGCGTTGCTTGTCGATGGTCTACGCATTGATGATCGCACACCGTTCTACTCTGAATTGTATCCAGAACGAGTCATCTTGAGCCATGGCGGCACTAGCGTTTTGCCTGCACATGCTGAGATCAAGATTTTGAAGTGCAACCCGTGCATGATGTGGCTTTATGAGTAATCTACATTTCTGAAATTCTAGATACCTGGGTGAAGATAGCTCTAGAGAATGTGATCTGAGAGTTGATGTTATAGTGCCGGAAACAATGCAGCTGTATTACATCCACACTCACAGGTAGAAACATTATGAAATTTTCTGTTATTTTTCGCGTAACCTACCTCTAGAAAATTTCTTGATCTAGCGCAAGTCTTGGAAGCATTTCCATTTTATGAAAGGGAAAACGCAATTTGTTGCCTAAATTCGACCATAATTTCGCATCGCAATATTTCGGTTCATAGTATTGTGAATACAAGTGGCTTAACGCCGCACATTTTTTGTTGTATAGAATGCCTTTATGGATCACGGTATGAACACGAGAGACAGTCATTATATAGAATGCCTGTACGGATCACGGTATGAACACGAGAGGCAGTCAATCTTCGGCGACAGCTATTGCTGCAATCAGCGCAACCAGCCTATCGTAAGCAAAAATCTCAAATGATTCGTGGTAACAGTCTACCGTACAACTACCGTAATGGGCAGTTTTCTGCACTGAAAGGTGCTCGGCATCGACTTGAATGTGCCCTTGGATTCACAATCCCTTCATTTTGAATCGAAATATGCGATGCGGCACAAATGTTGCGAACTTTGATGACTACTGCACCTTTTTTTTCACAGTCCATGCGGTATAATTGACAGACCAAATTACAGTGCTTATGTGGAGCTTCTTAGAAATCTTCAGCTTGTTTCTTTCTTTCAACATTGGTTGCCTTTCTTCGCGATTGTCAGGAGAAATTCAATCTTAGCTCCTTTTAGATACTTCTGCGCATTGATGGATTTCTGGCTGCAGTTCAATGAGCTGCAAGACCAAATTGCCAAGAGCAAACGCCTTAATGTAAGTTATTCACTTTTCTCATACCTGCTATACGTCGTTCTTCTCAGGTTGTCGATGGTATACGCTCCAAAGTCGCGCTTGATGTTGATGTAAAATGTCCCACGCATATTGTGCTGCCCTTAAATCAGTGTAGTGATCAACTAGTAGTGATTGAATCGGATGGGCTCAATCTCAAAAATACATTCAAGCCAATGAGCCGAGTTGACGATGTCTTCCTAAAGAACTGCATCGACAACGACTATGGATATGGTATTGCGTGCCTCGGAATTTATTCTGACTATAATGATTTTATTTTTAGACACATCCGTTGATTGCCTTCTTGATTGCGCCAAGGCTGTGTTGAAAGAAGTACGAGCTTATGAAGGACGGAGGATGTTTGTGCCGTTGAGAAAAGAAGATCAGGTGAGGCTTTTGGCAAAAGCAAAAAATTTCCCAGCCTCAGTATTGCTTGCGTTTTTTCTTTTTCTCTTTGTTCTTTCTTTTTTCGCTTTCTGACCTACTTATCAAGCGTATGTGACAGACTGATCATATAAAGTATGTAGCATAAATTCCTATGGCGTGAGCAATCTCGTAAAAGCTGAAAATTTATCACCAGGGGCCCTGGTCCCTTCTAAAACCATCACTGCCAACAAAGGCTTTTACGGTTCAAAAAATCTTGCAATGACTTCAGCTCTTATTGTCTATTTTAGAGCGCTCGCGTACTTGGACGAGGTGCATTCGACTCTACTGAAATTGTGTCGTCTATGGAATCTGTATTCAGTCGTCATTTTGACCTATCAGTTGATGTATTCAGAAACCTTGATGGACTTCGATCACATAATGGTCTTGCTTATGCTACAAGTTATCAAGCCTAACACATTTTTTGTAGCACCGGATTTGACTATCATAACCAGCATTGAGAAATTGACATGGCGGATGACATCGGATTTCTATATCTTGTTTCGTGGTGTGCTTGAGAAGAATTTTGGCGACACTCTTATTCCAATTCCTGAAACGATACCTATCGAAATTCTACAACGGCCAACTACCGGATGTGTCAGCTGCCAGCACTTTTGACAGTCTGTGTTGGGTGTGATTAAACTGTGAATTTTTTTAGGAAGTAGGATCCGATTCGAAATATGCTACGCTCTCCTTCCGCTTGCTGTTAGATGAAGTGGAACTGGATTGCAGAGTAAGCGTGGACTGTTACCGTCTTTTAGATCCAGTCTAACTCATGTTCATCCTGGGCTCTTTGGCATGAAAAAGCACAGCAGTAGTTTGAATCTTTTTACTTTTTCAAAGACAACGATTCGGCAAAATAGATTCTTGTCAGATTTTGGCGACTTTGGTGTTCCGTAATAATCTCTCCAAGTACCTAGGCCTAATTCCACCTCCCAGTCCACGCGCTAAGTCTTGAAAACGCGCTTCAGCTCACCAGCTCCGCCCACTTGAAGAAAGCGGGCAGGGGGTGGGCCTCTGAAACGCATTTCCAGGATTTGCATGGGGAAGGTGTTACTGGAGCTACGGTATAATATGAAGGTATACTAGATAGTACCACCAAAACCTTACAAGGCTCATTTTTCGAGCCAGTTCCTTAAAAAGATGTGCGATCACATCATACATAGTTTATTAGGTGTGCTGAGGTAATTTGCTGGAAGCTTAATACGATTAGACCTGCCATCGCCCTTTAGGATGTCTCCACAATCATGTATCACCCACCATAAAAGTCACAAAAGAGTATATCAGGTTCCCCTTCCTGGACACAGGCCAAATCAAAGCGCGCTGTTTGGCAAGCCTTTTACACCATTTGCTGCGATGCAGCTACAGTGTGCTCGTGTCAGCTTCGATGTCTTTATTGATGGTCAAAGTGAGCTTGATCTGGTATGTGAAAGCACCAACCTCGTGGATACGAGAAGAGGTACGTCAGAGTTTCAATCGATTGAACGCCAGCTAAGTTTTTGTTCAGTGCAAGTTGGTAGTGGTACAAAAAATCTGTTTTCTACGATATTGCAACCTCGGGAGTATTCTGATAAGAAGTGAGTTTGCTTCATTGTGTTTTTAGTTGCAAAGGTGGTTATTTAGATTTCCACTAATGTCCGAAGCTCACATTATGATGAGGAAAGACGAAGTGCCGGTGGTTACGCTGGTGTTAATGCATTCGCGTGTCATCCTACTGTACGATTGGCTGAATGACGCAAAGAGTTTCGTATTGCTCAGCAGTGATTTCGTGCCAAAATGTGAGGTTTTAATGTTCATTTTGATCTCGGAAACTTTTTACACTCTCTGGTTACTGATTTTCTAGATTTTCTTGCTAGATTTTGGGTGTATCTCTAAGGCACTAAGGCATCGTCATAATCTGCGCGACTCCGGTCCCTGCTCAATTTGGCACTGCTGCGATTAACCATGAGTCTTCGTTAAAGGCACCGTCCACCCAAAATCTCGAATTTAATGTTTTTGTCGCCTTCGGGCCTTCTGAAAGCCCTGATTCCGAATATGGAGTCGAAACTCCGCGAAACTCCCAAAAATCCCTCTTTCGAGAACCTCCTGCAACAAGCGCAGACGAAATAAAGCATGCAAGTGGGCGGAGCGACCATGGTCGCCCCGCCTACTTTGTTACTTCCGGAGCGGATTTCTCGCTCCAGAAGCAGTCTTTCGCGGCAAAGCTTGGGGGATTGCCTGGTGTGAGGGCTGTCACTAGTATGCCATCATAATCTCGCCAACCTCCATTTTGGGTGGACGGTGCCTTTAAAGACTTAGTATAAGCGAGACTTTTCAAGCTTGCATCGGGTTCAAAAGCTATTCGCCTACATGCATGAAACTTGCGTGAATTTGTAGATATCTGCTAAATCGCGTGAAGACAGCGATTTAGCAGAAATGCTCGAAGTATACCGATGCCTATGGGGTTTCCTATAACACAGTCTATCAAGTGCACTCTCATAGATCGTGATGAGAACTTGAAATATCCTCCCAATGGTGGAGTCATAGCACGAATGGGAAGTGTACCGCCAGAACAACCGCAGACACTATCGCTGAAAATCACTTTGCGGTATGTTCTAAAATCAAGCCAAAAATAAGCAAATGCCACTGGTTAAGAGATTCTGACTTGTATCTGCTTGAAAATCCCAGTATGCCGAATAGCTGCGCTATAGTGGCCACCACCAATGCTGTATTGAATTTGAACGATGCTGATGGGGTGATCTCGGCCAATTTGGAGATTCAGGTATTTGCATCAGAGTTGCAGCCGTATTTTCGTGATTTTTTTTTGTTATCATAATGGGGTATATGTGCTTTTCAAGAATATGTCCATCGCTTGGTGTTGTATGCAAGACGAGAGGCGAACTCTAAACCAGTGTTCCAACGAGTTCAGCATTGGTGTTGGCATGTCCATGAATCAGGTGATAACGCCGATCTCAGAGGGTTCCCGAGGGTTACCATCGCTGGCTATGAAAAGGCATTCTGTCGAGGTACTGATTTTTGTTTGTTTATGCGCATTTTCGAACTCAGAACGATCAGTGCAGGTCGACTTGAATGGAGTAATTGGCAGACTATCTTACAAGGATATGCAAGTCCTACGAACGACGATCGAGGGATACACGAGGAATTTCTACGAAAATAACACTAAGACAATGATTCCAGTTATTGGAAAACCTCCGCCTCCAAAGAGTACGTGGTCTATTTATAATCTCATCCTATAGATTGGCCACTGTGCCGATTCCTTACATCATATTATTGGCTATATAGTTATCGAAGTTGGACGGGTGCTGATCAAAACTGAACGAGCAGACTTATGGCTACTAGATGACTTTCAAGGCAAATCCATTCCACTACTGAGGATCTCTTTATCAAGTGAGCCTTACTCCTTATTCTGGTTTCGTAAATTCGTCTTGTTGAGATGTCTCTGTTGATCGACAGTCAGAAGATCGCATGGTGTCAAGCTTTGCGCTATCGGTTGACTACTTTAATCAGAGAGTATTCGGATGGGAGCCATTGTTAGAGAAATGGTCAGTGCTGAGATTTCTGATGTCCAGAAAGGATAATACTCACAATGTGGATCTGGTTGCGGGTAAGTCTGTTAGTTTTTCTTAGTTGCTGAGTACTATTAGATGTTTCCATGTTGTGCAACAACATTCATAATTTGTTTTGATGTTTCTGTCGACGAGGAGCTATCCAACATATTCATGTCGCTTATCATTCAATCCGCTCTATACATTAACAATTTTCAGAATCAAGAAGCACTCTAGATATCAACATCACTCAGCAGTTAATGCAGCAAGCAGTGCAGTTCGCTTCACGATGGTCAGCCATCCGTGCTTCACTCGAACACGATGATTTTCGGTATTTGATGTCTTTTTTGATTTTTTCTTCGTTATGGCTTTATATTCGCAAATTTTTCTTGTAAAATTTTACGTTCTTTCCTCTTTATATATAACTGAATACAGTGGTTAGGTAGTATCTGCATCGTTCTCTTCAATTTACCAGCATTATGTGTAAATCCTGCTGCCCATTTGCGAAGGGAAATAAGTAGTAAGTGATGAAGGAGGGCATCGGCTGATTTGCAGATAGTCAGCGTTCCTATAATCTCCATATTTATTTACAAACATCAATTGTTTGTGTTTTCCCGCGTCTGATCATTTTCGTTATAGAAAGAGCTGCGTGAGATCGCGATCTGATCATTTACCATATTCGTTCAAAAATGAGACAGGATGTGAAGTTATCTTCACCACTGGTAGGTTACATCTTTACTGGGGCTTTGTTTTGTCAATTAAATTGACTTAGTCTCTATATCGTATAAAAAATTTACTGGTTTTGTCGATTTCCGACATAAAGTAAATGTTGTACTCTAGCTGTCGAGGACATCCAGCTGGCTCGGAAAGAGCAACGAAAAGCTAGCGTAAGGTGGATAACCGTTCCTAAGGACAAAGAGCACACTTTTGAGTTTCCAGCTCGATTACTATTATATTCGGTAGGTCCCGATTTGGGCTATCTCGATATTTACCAATTTTTCCACTGCGCGGTTCAAGTATTGAGAACTTTCAGCATTCTGAGCGTGAGCCTCCTCGTCAGCTAATTGTCCGAGTGAATGGTTGGGACGAGATCTCGCCAGTGCATGTAGACGCTTGTGGCACCTACTTCAGGCTGGTTAAGGCAACCAAGGTACGCGGCACAAGCGGATTTTTTCATCTCCGCATAAAGTTTTTCGGTTCAGAAAAATATGCCGATGGCAAGGGTTGTAATCCGAGTAACTATGGAAAAAGACGGAAAGAAAGTCGTTGCTGTTAGATCATCTATTGATATTTACAATCAGTTACCTCATGAGCTTGCTGTATATAGCGCTGAAGAAGGAGAAGGTGAGAGACACGGCGTTTTGCTAAGTAAACAACGTTCTATTGCAGAACTCATGCTCATTCCACCTTCACAAGCAAAACCAGTGCCTTTAACATTTGCTCATTGTCAGTTTATGGTCAGACCTGAAGGTTGTCAAGTGCAGGAGAAGGTGTGGATCTTTGCTATGAGTTTTGAAAACAGAATTTCCTATCTTAGGCGGAAATTATCTGGAAAGGCGTGCGTGTCGCTGGAGAGACTGTCAACAAAACGCAGTATCTGGAAAGTTCCAAAACTTACTATAATTACTGGTAAAAAAGAATTTCTGTCTGCTTTGTTCAAAAAATATTCTTTTTATTTGAGGATGTGCACTTCAGTACGCCGCGAGCATTATCCAGACCATGAAGGTTTGCCTGGTCACTCCATTTATGTAGTAGCACCGCTCACCGTTCAGGTACAAAGTTTGATCTTGGACATAAGCTCATTGCTTGCTTATGGGAATAGCGTGCATCATTGCCCGCATAGCCAGTCTCTATTACTCGCTCCAGTTGTTCCTCACAGAAGAAGAGCTGAAGAGCATACTCATCTTTTCCTAATAATCAGCAGTACTTTGGAAAATTTGAGCTATGATTGGTGGCTAGGAGCACGAATACCGCCGGTAGGCGCTGCTTCCGCTGACTGCATTTCCTTTCACACGTGCAAACGACGAGTGGATTGATAGTCAGGGGAAGCAGTCAATAGCCGTGTCTGTTTAAAATCCACTACAGTCATTCTGCTCATGTTCATCACATAAATGTCCGCTCTTACCTTTTCCTGCATCAATTGTTCATCTTTTTGGTAGCAGCGAGAATGGAAGAAGGCGAGAAAGAAGAGAGGAGTATCAGCACCGTCCACCCAAATTGAAGTGGCAAGGTTTGATGCGGTACAATAGCAGCCTAGCTAATCGTCCGAATTCTGCTGCAGAAGGTGAAGCAAAAGCGAGAAAATCACTTCAGAATGTAAAAGCGCCGGTGGTGACTCCACCCATCAGCGTAGGTGGTTTGAGGAAACACGTCTATATTTGGGCTCCAGTGTGTCCAAACTTGTCAAAAATCCTTCATTATGATGAGGTTTCTAATAGTCCGGATTACATTGAAGCCCAATTTGGACATGCTATCTTCAGACCGCCCACTTGATGGGCAAAACCACCACCACCGTTTCTACTCTGGGGCAATTTTCTCATTCCATCACCCATTGCAGCTGGACGTGGGCGATCCATAGTCAGAGTTCCGCTACCATACTCCATCAAAACCTCGGCAACCTCAGTTTTAGTGGATGGTGCCTCCAAATGGCTGTGATTTTTCTGCTTTCAGCAAATACCTCAGAACATGATTTGCACTTGTTGTAGAACCTCTTGCCTATCGATGTTGAGATTCACATACTGGATAACGTTTTTCCTGTCGCAGCTGGAAAACAACTGATGATAACAACGGTGCGCCTGTGAATATCTCCCTGTATCCCATCGTGATGCAATTGTAGAACTTTATGCAGGTGGACATAACCAAGACCTTGACAGTTCGAGTAATCACAGATCGCCTGAGAACTGTGCAGGAATGTTATATCTCAAAATCGAATATTGGCGAAGGGCATCTGGTATCATTGAGGTGGGAAAAATCTGGGATTGTATTAGGATTGATTGGTGGACTCTAGGCTACAAGATGCAAAGGGACGACCTTTGGATATGTACGGCAATGTTCGCTTAGGTGTGGGCGGATCCATATCTCTTTCCTTATGGGTGCCTTACTGGATAGTGAATAAGTCAGGCGAGTGTCCTTCTAACTTCTAGGTTGGAAAATTCTGCTTTACATGGTGTGTCAATGTATCAGTTTAAGGTATTCCTTTGATCTTGAAGCAGGAGGCTACTGAAAACGAGGCTGCTGGACAAATGTCCGAGCACGAGCAAGCCAAGGATCGGCATCCATTGATGTTTAGCTTCGCTGATGATGGTTGTCCCAAGCAGTGAGTGTGTGAAAAACTGTTTGTGTCTCGTACTAAGTATTCTATCCTGCTTTCTTCCCTTTGAGATGCGTAGTTCGAGTGGGTAACGGATTAGCCAAGGAGCCGAATTATCGTCCGCGTTACAGTCATAGGTTTGCTCTCACACCTGGTGTGCAAGCTTTGAAGCTAAGTGTTGTGCACGAAAGCTTGCCTACTTTGTAAGTTGGATGATTTAGAACGATTACGGTGTAAATGGCTTTATTTTGAAGATACTACAATATTGGAGTCGAAGTACGAGCCGGTACAGGGAGATATAAGGACACCCAAGTTGTGTTGCTGACTTCACGCTATGTTATCAGCAATCAATCGTCGTACACGATATCTGTGTGCCATCATGATCTTATTGACGTGAGTCAAGCCATTTCTGATCAACAAATTTTTCGCTTTTATATATCTTGGTTAATGTTTTTGGTTATGGTTATGGATTTCGGTTATGGTTATGGATTCGGTTACGCTCCTTATTCTCAATTTAGCCACAAAAAATGCGAACGATGTGATTTTTTACTGTACGTAAAATATTCAGCTCTTTGTAATGTAAATATTAGGTTGATATATAATTCTTGGACAGTGGCGTACCGAGGGGGGGGGCGCTCCACCCCCCCCCCCCCCTCCCCGAGAATGGGTCGCGAAATTTCTGAAGGTTACTTAAATGTGTCATAAAAATGTGCAGACGACTTATTTCTACTTGTAAATAATTAAAATAATTTTTAGAAATTTTTAAAAATAGAAATTAGTCTTGTAAAAAAATTTTTCGGGGGCGTGGCTGTCGCCACGCCCCCTTTTTCTGAAATTTCGGGGTCAGAAGCCCGAAGAAATTTTGGGAAGCATCCCAAAAAATCGGAGTGCGTGGCTAACGCCACGCACCTTCATTGGAAAGATTTCGTCCCCCCCCCCCCCCCCCCCCCCGAGCCGAAATCCTGGGTACGCCACTGTTCTTGGAAGGTCAAAGATAAATTTACATTCGAAGTCAATCCAGAATGAAAAATTGGCAAAACCATTTATTTTCGAGTCTCAAATAGCAATGTGTAAGATTTCGGATCTGGAAACAGCTCTACTTATTCTTGCAGATTTCTCCGCTTATTTTCCAATCTTTCCAGTTTTGCATCAAAGTCTACAAAAAAATTCATATTCCAGAAAGGAAAATTCAAAGATTGAGCAGGTTCACCAGCACATTTGAAAACATCATGACTAAAACTCTAGATATTAGGTTGTCCGGAAATTAATGTCCGTTTTGATTTTCAACCTCAACAAGTCATACACTTTTCATTCCTGAATAGCTTTCAAGGTACCATTTTAGAACAAAGCAAGCTCTACAAGATGGCTTTCTTGCTTTAGCAAGAGCTCTGATCCTCCTCGAGTTTCGAGCCAAAAACTAAAAAGATTCAACTGCCCGAAAAATCAAGAAAAATCGTAAATCAGTTCGTAAGAATTCTACAAAAATTCTAACTTGCTCAGTTAAACGCTATCCACATAAGACATATATGTACGCGTTTGCCATATTTTTTCCTCTGTTAGAAATCGAAAAAACGAAAATGTTCATGCTTTTGCAAAAGTGGTGCTGTGTCGTCCCCACATACGTAGATGTATACTAGAAATCTGTAGAAATACAAACGTGGATTTTCAGCTTTTTACAAGCTTTAGTTCTCGAGAAATTGAATTTTAGTTTGGACCACCTGACTAATGAAGGTTATATTCGATATTTCTCGAGAACTAAAGCTTGTAGAGAGCTGAAAATTTACGTTTGTACTTTTACAGATTTGTAGTACACATTCACTTATGTGGAGACGACACAGCATCACTTTGGCAAAAGCATGAACATTTTCGTTTTTAACGGAGGAAAAAATACGGCAACGGCGTACATATATGTCTTATGTGGATTGTGTTTACGTGAGCAAGTTAGAATTTTTGCAGGATTCTTATGAATTGAGTTGTGATTTTTCTCGATTTTTCGGGTAGTTGAATCTTTTTAGTTTTTGGCTCGAAACGCGAGGTGGATCAGAGCTCTTGCTTAAGCAAGAAAGCCATCTTGTAGAGCTTGCTTGGTTCTATCAAATGGTACCTTGAAAGCTATTCAGGAATAAAAAGTGTATGACTTATTGCGGTTGAAATTCAAAACGGACATTAATTTCCGGACAACCTAATAGTATCTTTCCAAATTTGCAATGAAATTCTATGAGAAGTTATATTTCAAATGAAATCTTGAGATTTCTTGCAAAATCGCTAGCATATTAAGAAACATCGTGATAGAATACTTGTATATACCAGTTTTCATCCCAGTTGAATGCGCATCCGAGCCTTGAGTTCGAAATTTCAATGAAATCTCATTTTAATGCATTGATGGATGAGGCGGGTTACAGTATGCAGATATCAGTTCTGTTAAAGTACAAATAGGAGCCTGCTGACAGTTCATGACCTGAATAACTACGATGCAACAGGTCTTTGTCGGGTGAACAAGTTCCGTTCCCCAATTCCTGCACCAAATATTTGGAAAATCCATAATTTTATCCGACCTCAATATATCTTCCACTCTATTGAAACTTGAAGGAGAATATTTTGCCATACCGCAATGATGCAAACTGATGATGTTTTTTTAAAATTTGCTTGCTACTACAACGTCTACTACATTCTCATTTTAGTTTTGGTTCTGGTTCTATGCTTTTTCAATATGAGAAAAGATCGCAGTTTGGATGTCTTTACGAATAGTCATGATTTTCGATTTTTTCAAACCTTTGCTTTTGATACAAAATTTTTTTTTAATATTCATGATAACTTTCAATGTATCACGGTGAGTGAGGTGCTCTGAAATATTATCCCAACATTCTTAGAAATCATTCAAATTTCTTGGTACACGACCTGTGTGTCCACCGAGTATTTATCGATGTTCATGTCAACTAGACTGCTTTGAGTTTAGATTTTTTATGGTCGCAATATTTCCTTCAGACTTCGCTCTTCTTGCATAAGTCAGTTCTCCATGAACATTCTGATATTTTTTCTTAAATCATTACACGTGAAAAAAGTTAAAAAACTGGAATGTGGTGCTTTTGTAACGCGCCTCAAAGAGTCATTTTTACATTTTTTTACAAAGGTATTCTCAATATTTGTTCACTTTCTTAAAGAAGTCTTGAAATACCCATTTTTGATGATTTTACGTTAAGCGGCTGTCAGAGCATGTACACGTTGCCTCTCAGTGCAGCCTGGTATGGAACGAAAATTATGAGGATTGCCGACAGCTCTGTGTACGGCGAAGTGATGTCCGTCACTGGAGTTGTCCATTTCGAATAGATCGAATAGGGTCGTTTCATATCACGATGAGGTAGGACAGTGTTGCTTTGCTGCTATAAATTTTGAGTAAAAATTGCTTGCTTATGTTCGTTGGATGTCAGTGGCGAACGGCCAGGGGAGTGGGGAGTACCTTGAAAGTCATATACATGAGCCAAAAACTATGCAAGTAATCTCAGGCATTACAAATCAAACTGTTGAAAAAAGCTTTGAAAGGCATGCGTCTTGTCATTCCAAAATTTTTTCGCTTTCCCCCTTCTTCCTTTGAATCTAGGAGCGTCACTGTTTTTTCATATGGGGGCCATGTTCCATCATCATATCTTTAGTAAGGTTGTCATAAATCGCAGAAATATTGCATTTTTGTCAGAGACGCTGACGAAACGCCGAGATTCGTTCGAGTAGAGATCATACTCAACAGTGCTGTTTTTTGCGTTACTTTCACTGACGCTGAATATTACCCTCCGCCAATTCGGATAGAAAACCATTCTGACGTGAGTTATAATGACGCCTACCCAGCTTCAAATATTGTTATTTGTCATGTTTGTAGGTGCCCGTTTTATACCAGCAGCAATCGGAAGGTCCTATCGGACAGCACCTGAGGACAATCTGTAAAGCACGAAGTCATATAGATTACGCTTGGGATGATTTGTACGGGAGTCGAAGAATAGTTCTACAGGTGATCTGTCAAATTTAATTGAATTTGGTAAATCTACCGATGGTACGCCTACGATTCTTTCTTTTCTACAAAGCTATTTTGTTGTCGTATACGTGGGAATGCGGCAAATCTTATTCTGCTAATCACATATAAAGATTCTAGGTCTACGAGAACAAAAGCCATGTTTACGATCCGTCGGTGAAGGGAATTGGACCGCAGCTTGTCTACGAGAATCATATGTACATTCAGCTAGCGTCTTCCTTCAATGGGTAACAAAGTTTTATGAATTGCTTCTGGTTGAGCTCTTATTCGCGGCGTATATCTTTCAGCACATCGATCTCAAAAAGAACCGAAGAGAATGAACTCGTCCTTGAAACATTACAAAAAGGCAAAGTCATTTTGAACAAGCAAAACAGAGTGGATGCGAAGTGAGTAGCTCATCACTTATTTTTTGCAATCACAAGCTGTGATCTTTATTATATTTATCTTCTAGCAACGGTAATCAGTTATGGATTTTCTGCAAGGATGGATGCATCGAAAACATAGGAATGACCTTCAGAGCTAGGACAAGAATGGTATGTTTGATACTGAAGTGGTGTGATTGTGGCGAAGTAGCTTTTCGTCAAAGCTAACTCAGGCAACATACTCATCATTCCAAGGTCTAAATTCAAAGTACCCTATATCCTGGGGTTCTATATGTCATCGGACTCAGCATGTATATTCTTTAGTATAAGTCTCAGATTTCTTTCACACACAAAAAATCTGTGAATGCTTTAGCCTCGGTTACTTGTTTGATAATATATGGAGGCTGTATTTGAAGAAATCAAAGCTTTTGCTCTAGGTACTCGATGTTTTGGAGCGAATGAGTTTCCAGCTGATGATGACTCCTCGACAGTCATCGCGAGATAAATTCCAAAAGTGGACGTTAACAGCGGTTCGTTTGAGATGTAGTTATTATCATGTAATGAGAAATTATCCATGTTACACTCTATTATAAAACTCAATCGTGCATGGGCTACTTTTTTCTTATACGCTCGTCGAAATATTGTTGAAATTATTAGTGTTTAAGGACGGAACTCTTTGCTGTCCAGGGCTTCCCGGTATGGCTGTAACACATCGTGCACCTGAAATCTGCATGGCGAAGTGCGACACAAGTCGGGGTGAAGTGACAGATCCATCTTCGCAGGTACATAAATGTTTTCGTTGCAGTTTCATGACTTTTAAGGTTTGACTTGCGGAAAATTTAGGAAACTTTTTTTCTAGATTTGGCGAATACAGCGGCAGAGACCTGGTAGTGGCATTCTGGAAGTGGAATGCTTACACAATGGTCCTACGTTGGTGAGTAGGGGTGATGCATTTTGACAAATCAGATTGATCTAAACTTTCACAGGTCGTGAGAATAACTGATCGAGAGGATCGTATGAGAAATATGTCAGTACCGTCGTTTTCCAGGCCAGCTAAACCAGGTATTTTATTTATAGATTATATTGAGATCCACTGTCACTTTTTAAAGTCTTTATCTTTGAAGCGTAAAGCTTCGTAATACCCGAAATCACTAGTTTTAACCAACTTCAGATTTCACAGGATATTCGCTATCTTCTTTGTGTTTCATGATTAACTTTAGCCGGACTGGAAATGAATGTGACTATGCGCGCCGGTCTCGGCATTTCACTGGTGAATGGAAACCACGAGGAACTAATCTATGCACGATTCGAAGGCATCGTTTTGAGTGCAAAGCGTCTCGAGGACACTTACCTGATGACGGGAAGCGTAGACAAGCTTCAGGTACGTTTATGTATTTAGCCGTTCTTACGCATGAGTTTTTTCTTCTGAAACTTCTTACTAGGAAATGTTTTTGAGATTGACAATCAGCTGCTCTACTCTGATCGGTGGCAAGTACTGTACTGCCAGCCTGAAGTAATTGGACTAGATGAAGAGGGTAGTGGAGCGTACATAAATGGAGATTTACCTCCTGGCGTAAGTTGTTAGAACGTATTCAACTTTAATTTGTTCAACTTAGTCGCTATGTGCGTCATTTTTTGCATCACCTCAGCCATACCTTCAAAAGTAAGAATTTTGGCAGAGTTTTGGCATTCAGGTATGTGGAACGCCGCGACCTGCATTGAAATTGGAGATGAATTGCACTCCGAAGAAACACTACGACGCTTTTGATGTGAGCTTTCTGTGATTTCATATTTTGTGTCACATTTGTTTACTTATAAGGTCGCCGAACTAGCATTTTTCGGGACTGCGAACTATCTCGTTAATGACACACCGAGACGTTTGCTCGGAAAAATTACTGTTTTTTTTCCATAAAATCTTTATCCAATCTTGATATTATCCTCTCTCATCGTTTCACCTCTATGTGGCTGCACTTTTAGTGTTTCCGTCTGAAATTATGTGATCTCGATGTGCAGCTGGATGAATTATTGCTATGGAAGCTTGTCCAGTTTGCCCAAGCGTCAGATGCAGCATCGAGTGTCCAGCAGAAAACTCTCAGTCTACCTCCAAATACTGAGTGAGTCTGCGGATATTAAATTGCAGTAATTTTCTCTTGATCCGAAGAATACTTGCAGCTTAGAAAGACCGGATCCACTACGCACAAGAAGATGGTACTTCGGAAATCTGATTCTCGAAATGGGGCAGATAAACTTGAGTGGTATGCTATCAGTACTCAGGATATAAGTCTACTATACGGATTGCATTTGCTACAAGGGCGGAAGGGCGCAAATCTCCGCTGGCCTTTAGCGCTATGATTATCCTCTCCTCTTATTGCTTGCTTTTCCCCTTCTGGAAGTTGTTTTGGTTGCAATGTTTGATATGCCTACCTGCTGAAAGATCACTATATTCCAGTGGTAACTGTGTCAAAGTCCAGCCTGCCGCTTGAATGTCGGCAACTAAAACAGCAGTTCAATATGAAGCTTGTTTCGTTTGAAAATGCGACTGTCAGTTTGCCGCCATTTCGTCAATTTCATTACTTTGAGACAAGCTCATTTTTGCTAGAAAGTCTGCAGAAATTCTATTTCGGTGAGTATCTTAGTAGAATCTGTTCATTCAGTCTACTTAATTCACTTTTTGTTGTAGCTGAACTACAAAAGCAGACTTTGAACATCGTGGTAACATTAGATGCTTTTGGAAACCCACAGGGGCTGGTCACTGATCTGAAGGATTCATTCCAGGTTATCTAATTCTTCAATAGAGAACTATAACCTCTACTACTTCTTGTCATAGACCTTAACCTTAATAAACCGCTTTTTTACAGGGTTTGTTCATTGAAGGGGATTTACAGAGATTTGTTGCTGGTCTCGGTTACGGGGTCTCGAACAGCATATCTAAGGTATGCCTTTTCGTCTAATGCTTTGTAATTTTTCTTTTTTCCAACTACAAGATTGCAACAACTATTTTCTTGTAGTTGGCCTCGTCCGCGGCTTCTGGCGTAGGCGCATTAACCTTTGATCAAGAACATGAAGCGAAAAGACGGCATAACTTAATACGATCTCACAGGTTGTTTGAGTTTTCTGAAATTAGGGCTCCAAACATGCGTTGTTGCGTATTTGGAGCTTTATTTTTTTTATTTATTATTCCATTTATGCAGTACAACTACAACACCTTTGTCGCATCTATACTCTGGTGTGAAAGGACTTGGTGTAGGTGTTCTTGGCGGCATGACTGCTATCGTGACGAACACCATTGCCGAAAGTCGCAAGAGCGGAATAATGACGGTACTCAAAAAATCTCTTTTTTTCTGAAAAAAAATGCGTAAGGGCCGCATGCAATAACATCCCGTGGGGTGAAAAGAAAGCTTCATATTCTATAGCTCCAAATATCTAGATTTCACGCTGTCTACTTTTCTTTGAGTATTCCTACTATTTTTCACCATGAACACATTGAACAGCAGCGCGAAGTTGTACAAGCCGCATTTTCCAGCTTTTTGTATGGTCTCCCAATGAGCCCCGTCAGCCGAACGTCTTTTCAAAGTCATTTCTCTTTCTCCAAAGTTAACGAAAAGCTTCCAAAGTTGTGCAGACCATCTAACCCAACAGTGCTTAGCATGGCTTTTGTATGACCCCCTAATGATCTTCGGTGATCGACCGTCTTGAAGTCATTTTTATTCTTTCGAAGTTAACGAAAACCTTTCAAAGTTGTACTGTTTGGCTGACCCAACAGTGCTAAGAATGTTGCTGATAAGAACAAATGAGTTTTTGTAAAATCGCATTTTTCGGTAACCCCCAACTTTCGACTTGTGGATCATCGCGATTGACTTCGAGAAATCATTTGGTCTTATCAGCCATGCTAAGCACTGTTGGGTTAGATGGTCTGCACAACTTTGGAAGCTTTTCGTTAACTTTGGAGAAAGAGAAATGACTTTGAAAAGACGTTCGGCTGACGGGGCTCATTGGGAGACCATACAAAAAGCTGGACAATGCGGTTTGTACAGCTTCTTGCTCCTGTTCAATACGTTCATAGTGAAAGATGGTGCAAATACTTACGGATAGCTACACAACGTGAAATCCAGATATCTGGAGCTTCAAAATATGAAGCTTTCTTTTAAGCTGCAATCCCATCCCCGGTGATGATATTATTGCATGCTGCCTTAAGTTATAAGAAAATGTCCAGGGTGCAATCCGGGGAATAACAACAGGAGCTGTTGACACCGTAACGAAACCTGTGCAAGGGCTGTTTGATCTTGTGGAAGGGACAGCTTCAGCCATGAAGGAGTTAGCTGGACCATCGACAAGCAGTGGCCGGCGAGCTGCTGCTAGCGGGTGTGCAGATTTTCATTTGTTCCTAATCTAGAGTGTTGTCAACTCATCTTGCTTTTTATTGACATTATTTTCTGCAGTAACGTTCTGCATTTTCAGGAGGATACGACCACCACGATTGTGTCGTAACCTTTATCATCTTCTCCCTCCTTACAGTATACAGCTGGCAAAGGCTCAAATGGAAATGCTTCGGATCAATGGATATTCAACCAAAGAAAGGTGAATACTGTTATGTCTGCAGTAGCAAACTTTTTGTATTAACACGGGAGCTGGTCGTTGTATTTTTTCTATTGTTTCATACTTGTGTTTTTCATCTGTATCTTTTTGACCAGTTTCAACTTTCAAGCAGGTCTCCATCAACAAACGGTACAATTCATTTGTATACGCCAAATCGCTCATCTTTGCATACTCCTTATCTACATCGTGTTCAATTGCATGAAAATATCCGGTAATTACGTAATTATAACCGGGCTCTGAAAAAAGCTCATTTCAGCGCTCGGTTATAATCAACAATACGTAAAAAAAGCATTTTGCGCTGATCAACAGGGGGGATATAAGAATTCCAATTAAGAGGAATAAATGGTAAATGTTAAACTTTACTTTGCTTCTGTGGAGTGCAAATTTTCTTTGGTGGGACAGTGGTTCTGCGTTGCGAACAGCTGGCAGCTTTAGCTATAGCTGTTGACAGAGCTATCGTTTTTAAGCACTCATTGTCAGTAACAACTGGTGGTCCAAACTGTCACAGAGTTTCGTAAAATGCGTTATTTGGTCGCTGTTTTACTTATAAGCAGTAACTTCAGAATTTGGAGCCAACTATTTCACTAACAAGCGGTAACTTCATTGAAGCCAACTTTTTCTAGGCTTCTTGATGTTGAAGTATGTCTTGAGCAGTTCAAAGGAGAAGATTTGATTCGGCAATATGTACTGATATCAACGAGACAATGTTATGTCTGCCGGCAGGTCAGTTCATCTTTTTTTGCGTACAAATGCATGTATTGCTTTTTTTTTTCTAGGTCAATGCAGAACCGTCTAGCGTAATTTTGCGGATTCCGTACAAATATTTGAAGAGCGTCCAACCTCAACCAGAATTGGAGAATTCATTAGCAAGTCTAGGTAATTTTCACGAGCATTTATGTCGGAAAGTGGAATTATTAGAGTTTTTCAGAGGTCATTCTTGACACTGACGACCGCAGAACTCGTCCTTCACATGTATGGTGCGGCAGATTTGAGGTGGCTAGGCGTTTAGCGGAGAAAATGATGCGAGCCAAGCACGAATATGACCATAGCAAACGAACGCTTACCGCTCAAGAATCTGAGATTGGCTAGAAATGAGGAAGGATTTTTTTTTGATGGTACACCAGTCTGAGAAGACTGTCTCCGACCAAAGGGTACAGCTCAAGACGGATGTCTTAATGCATAAATGGGTGTTTGTACATGGCGAGCTCTGTTCGAATATTTTGTATTGCCTTCTCAAGAACGTTGAGCACACATGAAAGAGCTTTTAGAGTATTTCTAGGTTACAGTACAGGGAGAACAATTTCAGTTTTTGTATACAATCGCTTTTCTTGCACGCCTTGTAGCGTTCACCAATTTTCCCCCACCTTCCATCCTTTTCCTCAACAACATATATCTATCACAGAGGCTTTATCTAGGCTCCGGTCTCCCTTATAGAATAATCCTCTAGTCATTTTTGCCGATGGTTCATCTCCTTTGTGTATAATCACTTCTACTACGTACTTTGTACCCTCACGCCAATGCATCGATCATGGGTAACGATAGGGGTTCCTTATTAATATTCACAGCAGACATTGTATTTTGAAGAAATACTTGAATGTTGTTTTCTTTTATATTCTTGCTCAAAGCACCAAAGGTAAGCAACTCATTGTTGATATAATTTCCTCTTTTGGCTACGAAACTTCCCAAATCTGGCACTTTCATTGCTTTGTTACCTACTGTGATAAATTTTATTATTATGTTAATAAAGTTTTTACGATGGAGCTTTTGATGCGCAATAATTAAGGTGCAGACCTTGATTACTATATGGATTCTATATGGTTGATGAAGCTCGAATATGCTTGTCACTTCTTATTTGCTTTCCTCGGCCCATTCAGTCAGGAGAGTTATATCAAATTTTGCCTGGTCTCTCCAGAAAATTAGATTGTTTCGAAAATTTTGTAGCATCTGCTTTCCAGGTTTGCCATACTTCTAGCTTGTGTGCCTTATGGAAAGCTTTCCACAGCTGTTGCCGTCCTGTGTCCGTTTATCTTGCATGAGCTACCTTGTTTCTGTTTTTGGTGGAGTTATTCTTGATCTTTGTGAGGGCAGAAAATTTTCTTGCGTAAATCGTTCATTTTTCGTATATTCTCGTGATATGCATTAACGGTGGTTAGTTTAACATGCTTTGCTGGCTAATCTGAGGCGAGATCCATGAAGGCGATTCCCAAATGTTACTACTAAAATCTAGATTGGAATGAGCGAGCTGTACTGACTAAGTTTTACGATAGGTGAAATTTGTGAGTTTTCTGCGGGTTTGTGAAGGCGGCTCCTTTTTAATTTTCTTGAATAAAAATCATTATCAGTCTTATTCAAACATATCTCGACTGGGCTTTGTTTTGAGAGTCACTGGTTATGCGATCAATTAGGCACTTATTTCACAACTTCAGTATTTTATCCAGTCTTTGTTTCTCCTCCACTCATAGTCTGCGGCAGAATTGACGCATTCTTTTTGTAATAGTCCATTCCATGATACACAGAGTTTAGAGTATGCTGTTCTCATTTTCATGGTCTGCTCATTTTTTCGCTGTGGCTTGAGCTGCATTTTTAGTCGCTTCTCTTCCACCTTTTTCTAGAATTTATATAGTAGAACATTCACAGAGGAATTGTTGTCACACTTCGCAATCCTCATGTGCATCCTCCTTGTCTCAAGAGGCCGTCTCTGCCTACTGCAGTTAACATTTGATCATGATGTGGAGCAGGGCTCGGCACGAGGTGTCTAGATGAAAATGCAAAAAACGAAGTCCCCCTTGTTTTGGGTATTTTTACGGAGTCCTCTTTGACCCTACACCATATTCCCTAAAAATTCTCCAAAAAACAAACGTCGACTAAAAAAACGCCGCCAATTTTGCGTGTCTTCGTCCACAAAAGCGAAACCCCTTTGCTTTTTGTCCTAAAAACGATATCCAGCTTGCTTGTAAGCCACCTGTGCCGAGCCCTGATGTGGAGAGAATTGCAAAAGATGTAGAACTAGAGGCAAATTGATGTCTTTGAACTTCAGGCCTACATTTGCCCACAGTTATGGGGGAGGTATTTTGTATTGAGAGGAACGCTATTGTATCTTATATATATTTTTTTTTATATCACCAAATTGATTCTTCGTTTTTTCGTGCCCCATCGCTGACTAAGCTAATCAAATTAACGCCATCGGTTCATTAGCTTCGAGACTCTAAGTTTGGAGGCTGAATTGGACTGATCAGTTGGTTGTGCGTTTTTCAGTTTCTATCGCATGTCAAATGAGAATTTTTTACCTTCAAGATCGTGCTATTGTCTAGGTTTTTTTGCTTATATTTCATATATTAGGTTGTCCCGAAAGTTTTGTCGGTTTTTTCAAACCGCTATAAAACTATGCGCAATAAAGACCTGAATGAGTTTTAACATGCATTCGATGCAGCTCTTCCTTCTCTTTCTTGTGGTTGCAACAATCTTGTATGCTTCTTTTGATAATTGTTACAATTCTTCACCCGTCATTTTCATGTGCTCAAAGTTGAGCTGGTTTTTGAAAATTTCATTTCAATGTTCCGGAGATGATTAAGTATGGCACAAACTGAGCAATTCTCGGACTACAGGATGTTGTTTTTAGATTCTCCTAAACTGCTATTTTTAGCTTCAAAAAATTTTTCTTCGGAGGTCTCGATTTTTGGCAAACTCATGAAACACGCAACTGCAGCAAAAACATCAAAGCCTTTGATATTTCTGCGAATTAAAAATTGATTGCTAACAAACAATAATTATGCAACATAATCAAGTTTAATTTGCTTTGAAAATTCAGGTTTTTGGAATTTTCGGTGGCTTTACGTGGTAGGGGGAGGAATGGCGTAGTGGTATGAGGCGCCGCTACGACTAGATCGGACACAGGTTCGATCCCCGCCCCTGGGCCAACCAAGCCCTCTACCCCCCGGGGCCGGTAAACTGGTACCAGAGTAATCTGGGAGGATAAAAGCACTGACTTGGAAACGGCTGGCCCCCGCAAGTCACTGTAATAGGCACGCACGCATACAATTGCCTCTTCGACCATGAAGTTAGTGTGTGCGTTCGGCGCATGCCCGCAGAGGGTATTGAAGACGCCGAATCCTTTATCCTTTTCATCCTTTTACGTGGTAGACGTAATCAAAAAGCCGCGGTTTTTCTTAAATAAATAAATATAACGGATTTAATAAATGTGACCCATGTTAAAATAGACATAATGTAGCCAAAGATTTGCTCTACATAATAATTATTAACGCTCTTCAAAAACAGCAGAAGAAAATTCTTTAAAATTCAGGAAAAATTTGGTATATTGCGCTACTATTGCGCTGCTCAAAAAGCCATGGCGATAACATTGCAAAGACAGGGTAGATCAGAGAGCAAATATAGCTGTAAGAAAGGGGATAAAAATATGAATTAATTGATGCCTAGATCGTCCGTGGATTAGTGCTCTGTGGGTTCTAGTTAGCGATGAAAAAAAACCGACAAAATTTTCGGGACAACCTAATATTAGGGCGTTCCAAAGTAATTTCGCTTTTTTTGAAAGGGCATCAC